ATGGATGGATGGATGGATGGATGGATGGATGGATGGATGGATGGATGTCTTTGGCTTGGATTTACACCAAGGAAACCCTAAAAGAAACCATTCAGTTTTGAATCATTGATGAATGATGTGCCTTTTAAAAGTATCTGTCTAGGAAAAATAGTCATTAATTCATACAGAATTACAAAAATTAATTTTTCACCAATCATACCATGTCACAGATTGGCCTTGAAGGCTTCTGTGGGTTTGTTTTTTGTTTTGTTTTTGCTTAGTTTTTCTGGTAGAAGTGATTTTTGGTTCGTGTGTTCTAATTAAATTAAAAATAGGTTAAATCTGGAGCTATTTTTCTTTGCTAGAATAACAATAATTCTCTAGAAAATTTTAAAATGTAAATATTAGGGTTTGTGTTTAGGAATGAATTGTTGATTTTTAATTTGAATACTATTTCTAGTGCATGATTTTTGAGTTGTAGCCATTGAAAAGGAAAGCAAATCTTGTTTAAAGGAAATAAATCTGTGTGCTAAAATATAAAACTTAGTTCATTCCTCCCAGAGAGAAAATTTTTAGAAATATATAGTGTAATATGTACCATTAATACTGTGCTCTGTAAAATTATGTACTGTATATAACTCTTATTTCCTTTTAGCCCCTAGAAAAATAAGCTACAAGTTTCCACCAAACAGAAGAGGATTCCGAATGGGATGTCGTAGTGTCAGTAGGGAGCCTTCCCAGAGAGATATTGATCTTCTCACTAAACGGGTTCTTTCTGCCAGACTGCTGAAAATCAATGAGCTGCAAAATGAAGTGACTGAACTCCAGTTCAAATTAGATGAGCTGCTAAAAGAAAACAAGGCTTTGAAAAGGCTTCAGTACAGACAGGAGAAAGCCCTGAATAAGTTTGAAGATACAGAAAATGAAATCTCACAACTTATAGTCAGACATAACAATGAGATTAAGGCACTAAAAGAGCGCTTAAGAAAATCTCAAGAGAAAGAACGGGCAACTGATAAAAAAGTGAAAGACACAGAGTGTGAACTTCATAGGACAAAATGTTCTTTAAAGAAACTGAAAATGCTCTCTGAAGCTAAGCACTTACCTGAACGAGAAGATCTGGCAAAGAAACTAGTCTTAGCAGAGAACAAATTAGACGATACTGAGAAAAAAATTAAGGTGAATTTTAAAGAACCTCTTCTAATTATATTGTCTTGTGTCACTTTCCCATTAGGAGTTTAATAATGTGTTCTGTTTAAAACCAATTTCTGTTTTACTGAAACCCCTTGATAAATGAAACCTTTTTAGTAGTTTGTATGTAGGAAGCTAGAGAAAATCTCAAACATAAAAGGGAAATGTGAAGAATTAAACTGTCAAAAATTTTATTAGTAGATCAGCTCTTGTGAGAAGTAAATTACTTCTTGGTTCTGTCAAGCCATTCTTGGAATTTATTCCACCTTCTTAGTGGTTTACCAACTTACTGCTATAGTGGTCCTTTTCTTTCATGCACTTATTTCCTGGTCTGTTAAGGAAGAAAATGCCACAGGAAAAGTCCTTGAGGAAGCTAGGTGGTTCAGTGGATAAAGTACTGCACCTGGAGTCAGGAAGACCTGAATTTAAAATCAGCCTTAGACACTTATTAAGCTATGTGATCCTGGACAGGTCACTTAATCTGCCCACTTCAGTTTACTCATCTATAAAAGAGATAATAATAGCACCTCCCTCCCATGGTTATTGTGAGGATAAAATGAAATAATATTTATAAATAGGACTCTGTAAACCTTAAAGTGCTGTTATGTAAATATAAAATATTATATAAATTAAGTAAATTATATTAAATATTTGCAAAATTGTATAAATATATAAATAATATTATTATCACTTTAGTGACTTTCTAAATTAGTTTCTTCAAACAAATATAACACGAAGTAGGAGTTTATAACAGAAAAGATTATAGTAAGATTTTTAGCATATAAAAACAGTAATTCACTAAAAGATACTCTAATAACCTGAAAGAATTAATGGCCCTCCAATAGTACCTAACACCATAATTTACTTAATGTGATTTAAGCTTGAGAGATGGCCTGCAGTAGTAGATAGAACCCCCCTCTGAGGACAGAAGATGTGAGTTCAAGGCCTGCCTTAAATGTATTGACTCTCTGACTCTGGTGAGACATTTAATTTCTCTGGGCCCCCAGTAATCCTGTAGGACTATAAATGCAGAGCAGATACCGATATGCATTGGTATTTTCGTACTCAAACCTCTTATGTCACAGGTCTGGTTCCAAAAAAATGATTTTACTTGTTACTTTCCAATAATGAGAAAGCTATGTCTGCTGAGCAGGGAAATTTTTAGCACCAGTTTACTCTTCCAGCAAAGGGCATCCTAACAGACTCAAAGAACAGCGTCGCTCCCCATTCAGTGCTACAATACCAATTCGCCTACTTTTACCTTTCCTAGGTGCAGTTGTTAGAGATCAGGGACTATAATAAGTTGGCTTTCCTGTAAATTCAAGTACTTTTCAGATTTTCTTGATTCTTCCAAAGTGATATAAAGGGAGAAAGGGATTTCCATCTTTATTTACTTTTCAGTTTGAAGGGGAGGAAAATGGCTGTAAGCAGTGGCAAATTCTATCTGGCTTTAGTTAAGCTATTCATTTTAAAGAAAAGTGCTATATATTAGGGACAGTATTATTAATTCAGTAACAATTTTTCATTCTATATTTACCCCATAGTGTTTTCATAAATAGTTGAATTATTTAATAAACAGCATAAGGTTATTGGTTTTTTTTTTGTGCGGGAATGGAGTTGGCCTTTCTGTGTATCCCCAGTGCTTCACACTGTGCAAGGCATGTAGTAGGTGTTCACTAAATGCTAGTTGACTGACAAGTAGGTTATTTAGATGCCTTGAGCTAATTATTGCTTTGATCAGTGGCCAAATCAAATGTGAAACTTTTTTAAAAAGCATTTCCAATTTTTTTCACAGTGAATTCCTAGAAACTGAGCATAAAACCAATCATTGTAAAAATAAGTCTCATTTTCCCATAAAAATGATGTTGTAATCGAGAGTAGCATTCTTGATCAAGGACTCATACTTAGAACAATAACATGTTAGAGCTAGAAAGGGCCTTAGAAGTAATCTAATCCAGTACCCTCATTTTATAGATGAGGAAAGTGCAGCAATAAATCATAGGTATCATCTATAATGTCATGAAAACAAAAATGCAATAATAAGCCTTTGTAGTCATTTAAAATAGTAAAATTATTCTCTTAAGTTCTATAAACTAGTCACAAATATATAAATTGATATTAATGCCTTACCAGTGCAAATTAAGTATTGAATACATTTCAAATTAAATTGAATGTTTTTGTTTAAGATATGTTTGTTCCACTAAAAGGTATTTTTAAAAAATGAACTAGACATTCTTCTTTTTTTAAAATTTACTACCTCCTCAGTTTATCCAGAATTGTAAGTGAAGCGACTCTGTAGACCAAAGCAATGTTACCTAGAAATAAATGCTGCCATGTCACCAATTCTTTTCCTTAATTGCCACAACCAGTTCTGCCATTGTGATTCTAGCATCCCTACCAAAAGTGATTAGAGGCCCAAATGTTGACTACAACATATTTTCTGTAGTAGGCTGTTACCTTTTCCGGAAGTCTCGTCTCTCTCTCCTCTAAACACCTTCCTATCGAATAAAGCTAATTAGAAAAAGGAATAAAGCTAATTAGGACATCCCATCAAAATGTCTCTAAACCAGCAGCCAAATTTCTTGTTGGTATGTCCCAAGATTTATTCAACAAATATTTATTGTGGACAAAATATATGCAAGGTAGGAAGTACATTCTTATATAGTACATGACAATCTGCCAGTATGAACTTCATTGGGAAGCCATAATAATTACCAGGTCATCAACACAAACTTAAAAAGCAACTATAAAAAATAAAACTCTTTGAGAACTCTCAAGATTGTTATAAGACAGTTATTCATGTTCTGTTGCTTTATTCTGTGAAGACGCTTACCAAATGATTAGGAAAAGCAACAGAAAATGAGCAACAGGTTCTAATAAGGTTGTGCAAAAGGCTATTACGATGGAGTAAAATCTCATTAAATTAAACCTTGAAAGTCAACTGAAGTTAAGTTTTTTAACTCTCTGCGAGAGTAAAGGTTTACTAATAGCACAGTACTGTGGAAAGAATGCTGAATTTGCAATTAGAGTATCTGGGAGTTTGATGGGGCACTAATGAGGGACCCCAAAAAGGAAAAGGCCTCTGAACGTTCCCACAAATTTCAGGAACCCAGCCCCTGAATGCCAGGGATCTGGGTTCACAGATTGGGTTCCAGATCCCATCCCCATTCAGGTTCATATTCTGACTCTTTTATTTGCTATGTGACTTTGGTCAAGTTATTTAATTTCTCTGGGCCTCAGTTTCTTCATACATAAAATGAAGAGGTTGAACTAGATGATCTGTCCCAGGGTCCCAATTGACAAAATAAACCATAGATGTTTTATAGTGGCTTTTTAAAATAGTCATTTACATACTTAAAAGACCAAACTTGTCTATTACAGATTTTCATTTACCTAGAAACTAGTGATTAAGCAATTATAAATACTTTTTAACTATCAAAGTGATCTTCCAAGGACCATTTATTAAATAGTACTTCACTAATCTAGTTTTAATAATTGTAGGTGCTTGAAAGTAATTAAATTGAAATCCTTTTAAGATATTCTGAAACTATTACTATTTGAAAATTGACCTTCCTCTCAATCTTTATCAGTAAGGTATATTTGAATTACATGTATGCAAAAAGCTTATCTTTAAAATGGCACTAATGTTATAGAATTTGGTTTTTACAAACATTTTAGTGAGAGAAATATGAACATAGGAAAAGTTAATGAACTGCAAACAAATTAAAATGTGACATTTATGATATCACAACTTAAAGCAGTTCAATTCTTTATGTAATTTAGAAATTTGTACACATAATATATAGAAATTTAAGTTATTATTATTATATATCTTTGTCATTATAAATCCCTATATTGGAGCTTAGTCTTAACAAAACTGCATTTGTTTTTGTTAGTGGTATGTTTTTAGAAGTTATTATATTTAATGATGAATTTATTTTATAAAATTATACTAAAAACAAGTTCAACTGTCAGGAGTTTATTACTTAAATATCACTTTGTACCAGTGCTTGAAGTAAAAGTTCTTTTAAATTATATCCTGGAATTTTAGAGCTAAAAGAGAAAGACTGTTAGTGTTAAAAAAAGAGACTTGAGAGAGAACATGTAGTAAAACCTGATGATTTAACAGATCAGGAAGTTTGGGGCCTATAAAGACTGACTTACCTAATAGTGAGTTAGTGGCACAATAAGGACTAGAAAGAACTTAGATCTCCTGATTTCCTAGTGCAATACTGTCTCCACTTTTGTAAAGTGCTCCAACTAAGGTCCACAATACAAAGTTCTGACTTCAAAGTCTTTCAAAAGTAAATGCATTTTAAATTGCATACTTTAGTGTATGTGGGGTTTTTTTTTTTATTTTTCTAAGGATAACATAAAGTAAAATATGAAAATCTGATTTGGTCATTTGGAAGTCAGAATATTTTGTTCCTAGCCCTCTTTTTTCTACCACCTACTAACTTCATAACCTTAGAAGTAATTTCATTAGACCAAGGGTGTGGGGAACCTGTGGCCTTGAGGCCACATGTGGCCTTCTAGGTCCTTGGGTACAGTCTTTTGACCGAGTCCAGATTTTATAGAACAAACCCTTTTATTGAAGAGATTTATTCTTTGAAGTTTGGATTTAGTCAAAGGGCCACATTTGAAGAGCTAGAGGGCTACATATGGCTTCGAGGCTGCAGGTTCTCCACCCCTGCAATTAGATCATTGATGAAGAAATAAGAGACCCTACCTGGTCTAGAGCTCTCAATTTATAGATAAGGAAACTGAGGCTTAGCTGGAATTCTAATCAAGAACCTCCGACTCTAACTCTAGTTTTCTTCCAGGTGGCTCTGTGACTTAGTTTTCCATGTCTCTAAAGTGGAGATAATGTTTAGAGTCTGGATTGTTACTTAGGATCAAATGAATTAGTGTGTGGGCATAAAGAAAGTGCTACATAAGTGTAAATTATATAGCTGGTTTCTTAAATAAGTGCTTTCAAAGTACTTGAAAGTTCTCAAATTAAGTAGTTTAATGATGCCTTTTGCAGTTTTTTAGACTTTTAGATTTTGTCCTTTATGAAAAGAGGCTTTGCCTTTTAGCCCAGTCTATTTCCAAATTATCCTAAAATTTAAAGATAGCAGATAGCAAATAAATGTGTTTTGCTGAATTCTAGAATTTTTTTTGTTTTTGCATTATATGCAACATATATAATCATATTTTTTCTTGTAATCTAGAAAAGGAAAGGCAAGCAAATCTTCCCATCTTTAATACTGTGCATAAATCTTTCCACTTTAACTTGGCCACCTTGTATGCTTTCATGACATAATTCCCTACTTCTTTGGCTCCTTCCCTGAATGCCCTTTTCTCTGCTCGTTTTCTTCCTGTTTCTCATTCACTCAGGATCTAATCCTGAGTCTCCTTCCATTGCTTTGTCTACATTTTAAAAGAACAATGGATACTCTGATAAGGAAGTTACTGTCTTCAAAAGAAATGGAGATGTAGACGAATGTGAATATTAATTAAGTTCTTGATTTTTTTTAACCAAAAGGCATGTTATTTTGTTGATAATTTAAACCAATCTAAAGCATGTGAATCAATTTTTTCATTTATGAACCATGTATTATTGAATACTGTTGAAATAACTTGTTGCTTTTTATCTTAGGAATGCTTTATTTTACTCTGGGTACCTTTTGCATGCAAAATATTTAAATATTGCTGTTGCATGTTTTTTTTTTTTAATTAGCCTTTAAAATAGCTTGAACAAAACATTTCTCTTCCCTGCCTCCCAAATTTTCACCTACCTCCAAAACTTATCAGCTTTAGCCCCTCCTACTATTTCAACAATATTCATTTCAGGCTGATACATGCTTGCACACAAATTCTCAAAAAAAAAAATAAGAAAAATATAATAGACAAAGCTGACTTAATCTGCATAGTTCTTCCCTGATCTCTTTTAGGGCCACAACCTGTCAGCACAAGATGATTTGTGTGCTTAGCCAGCAATAGATATAGCATCCCATTTTAAGGTGATGTTAAAAGTTCACTAAGAGATTCCTTTTGAAATAAACAGTTATTTTTCTCATTTGTTTACACATATTACAGGAACTATCAAAAAATCTTGAGCTGAATACTAGTAGTTACCAACGACAGTTGCATGCTGAAAAGAAAAAGTCACATGATGCTCAGAATGAAAATAAAGTTCTTCAAAAGGAGCTACAACAATTATGTCAAAAACTGAGGGTAAGCTTTGAAAAAAAAATGTTAAAACTGCAGTAATTTTGTTATATATCATTACTGTAGAACTACTTGACTTTTAGATGTGCTATATTTTTATTTGGGTAAAGCTGTACTTTGTTATGTGACATTTCAGTATATGTTCATTAACTCTGGCTCTTAGAAGTAAAAAATTCTGATAATATAGTGGTTAATGCACTCATAATAGTGAATTATTAAGTACTCTGTTACAAATACACTACCATAATCAACTATAAGAAAATATAAAATTATTGAAAAAAATTTAAATACCTAGTCTATTTTTATATATAACATTCCTATGTAGAAAACAAACTTTTTTGTTTTTTGGCTAGAGAGTTGCAAATAATACCATTTTGATTATAGAGATACTATTATATTAGACTGATTTAAAGAATAAAAACCACCTCCTCTTAGCTCAATATTTGGTTCTTCTACAGAACTATTTATTTAAATTTTGAAGGAACTGTTTGCTTACTTACCTCCATGTCTTAAGACTCACAGGGCAGGCAAGAAAAAATTTGGGAGATTGGCAATCCTGAGATCAGTAATGGGGAGGGGTAGGGTGGAAAAAGAAGTACTCTATTTTTCCTTTCTGAATACTCACTTCTAGAGCATAAGGTCATAAAGGTGCTCCTTTCTCTAACTTAATCGGCAATTTGAGCTCGAGTAAGCCAAATACCAGGCTATAGGAAATTTCCTTGACTAACTGAGTTATGGTAGAGATTTCAAAACCTTAGCTGATTGTACTGGCTTTATTTTCAGGAAAAAGAGAGAGAACTGGATGTAAAAAATATATATTCTAACCGCATACTGAAGAAAACTCCTAAGAAAGATAGAGATGCTTCTCCAAGAAAATGTGGTACAGTCAATATTTTTAATTATGTATTGACAGGACTAAGGGGTGGAGTGGAAGAGCTAATCCTTCATTCCAAAGTGAAATAAAAAGCCATGTCAAAAGCTTAAAATTTAACTTAAAAGTAAGAAATTGTGACTCCAGCTTTGTAAAATCAGGAGGAAGACCACTAACTTCTCTGCACATCAATTTCCCCAGCGATGAAGTCTGGTTAAGATGTCTGTCCTATCTACTTCACAGGGTTGTATCAGAGGACAATAATATATGTGAAAGTTCTTGGAAATTTTAAAGTTATATATAAATATAAGGTTGCACTATTACTGCTGTTGTTAGTAAAGTTTTAAATTCTACATTATAATTTCAGTATACTCTTAACTATATTTTTGAAGGCTTTGTACTTTTCCCTGTAGATGTTTTTCACAAAAATTCATCAAGATGAACTTACATACCATTTTTTCAAAAATTTAAATATTTTCCCCTTAACATTGAAATTGAAAAGCATAAATTATAATATAAGTTGAATTAACCAGTCATAATTCCCACCCCCACACTATTCTTCCCTCCAACCCCACCCCAGCATACCTTCCAAAAGGCCTTTGGGAGCTGAATCTTTAATGGAATTGCTTATCTTTCACAGAACTCTGAGTAATAGCTTCATACATCACCACACTATTTCACAAAACCTTGGTGTTCTATGTGATGTCAATAAGGGTTCTGTGAAATGGGGTGGAGGTGTGGGCAAGAATACTGTGGTAGCAATATTATTCCCATTATACAATATGATATTTTGTATGTATCAAAACTACTTAATACATGAACTGGTTTGAGAGTATGAAAATACATGTAATTTCTTTTATCCCACTATAATATTTCCCCATGTTCAAAATTCCTGTTTATCTGACTGATACTTATTAATTGGAGACATTGGTTTATCAATATATTTCAAGCAGCGGTAGAGTGGATAAAAAGCCATCTTCAATGTCAGGAAGATCAGAGTCTACATCCTGACTCTGATATACATTAGCTCTCCTACTGTTGGTAAATCACTTAACCTGTCAGTGCCCTTGGCACTAATCTCAAAGATGGTACATTGCAGACCAGTATTTGTTCCATACAACATTGCAGAACAGTAGTTGGTCTGCATTGGAGGAAGTTATTTCCTTACCGGTGATTCCCTATACTGATGAAATCACATATCTCGGCTCAGTTCTAAGCCCCGTAGTGTTTCATAGCTACATTAACTGGGGAAATAGCAACTTGAGCAAATTTTAAAATATTATTTGGTTACAATTTTTTTAGTATCTGTGAGCCACAAAATTACAGAAATATGTAGCTCAAAAGGAGTACAAACCAGTGAATATTTCCAAGAAGATGACTTGTCATCACCAGCTTCTGTTTCTCAAGACTCACCCAGACCAGAAGAAGAGGAACTACTTACTCGGGTGAGTTTTAACAATCTTGGAACCAAACTTTAGGCCCCACTTTTTCCTAAAAATAAAGATTGTGTTAAATTTTCTGAAAAGTAAAAAACAGTGCCAGTGTTACTTCTGTCTTTCTGGACCCAAGCCAGGACTTAGGATCTATTTTCCTCTTTAAAATTTTAATTGCATTTTTGTAGTCTATCCGTAGTCTCCCTATACTTCTGAACCAATTTTTTAAAAAATCTATATTGACTACTTTTTTCTTATTCCTTCTGTTGATTGCAACAGGAGTTTTGTAAATTTAAACTGCAGTCATTTTTTCTAATAGAATTTTTGAACAACTAACATAGTTTAGGGAAAAGAACACATTTAGATCAGGAAACTTATATTCAGAGGTTGGCATTGGCTTTGTTGTGAGCTAGCCCTGTGACCTTAGACAAATTACTGAATCTCTCTGAGTCCCAGGGGTAATGCTTCCTGACCTGGACATGGGTTTAAAGCATGCTGCCAGAGTTTACTAGCTGCATGACCCAAGGACAAGTCATTTCAGTTTCTGTGTTTCAGTGTACTCATCTGCAAAATGAAGACAGTACTACCTGTAGTACCTCTCACCCCGAGTTTTTATGAGGCTCAAATGAAATAATGTATTTAGAGCATTTTACAAATTGTAAAGTACTTTATGAATGTCTGTTATTTCTAGAGGGGCAGTGTAGCATAACGAATTGAGTGATGGATTTAGAGTCAGGAAAACACGCATTCCAGTTGTACCTCTGATATTTTCAAGCTGTGTGACTATAGGCAAGCTATGTCACCTCTTTGAGCCTTAGTTTTCTCATCTGTAATATGGGGCAAATTATACCTGGATCACACAAGATTTTTATGATGCTAAATGAGCTAAATACATGGAAAGTGTATGTAATTTTTTAAAAAAAAAATTTAATTTATGGAATAAAACAAGCATTTCCATAACATAGTACAATAAAAAAGATGGTTGTACATGAAACTGCAAATCTACTATGGCCAACTTGCTATTCCTTCCAAATATACAACAAAATCATATAAATATATTTTTTTCTCTTTTTTTCTTCCCTGCCCCCTGCATCCCCCACTCCCAATGGCTACTATTAGACACAAATAAGTATATATGTAAAATTATTCTATACATACTTCTGTTTATCAATTCTTTCTCTGGATGCAGATAGCATCTTTCTTCATATGTCCTTTACAGTTGATTTTAGTATTTATAATAGACAAAATGACTTATTCACTCAAAGTTCTTCTTAAAATAATATTGCTATTACTGTATACAATGTTCTTTTGATTCTGGCCATTTTGCTCTTCATTATTTTGTGCAAGTCTTTCCATGTTTTTCTAAAATCATTGAGCTCATCATTTCTTATAGCACAGTAGTATTCCATCATAATCATGCACCACAACTTGTTCAGCTATTTCCTAGTTGATGGGCATCCCTACAATTTCCAGTTCTTTGTTACCACAAAGAGAGGTGCTGTAAACATTTTAGAACATATAGATTCTTTTCCTTTTTCCCTAATCATCTTTGGAAATAGACTTACAAGTCTATAAGAAATAAGTAGTGATATTTCTGGGTTCAAGGGTATAGGTAGTTATATGACTCTTTGGGCATAATTCCAGATTGCTCTCCAAAATGGTTGGATCATTTCACAGTCCTCCCAACAAAGAATGTGTCCCAATTTTTTCACATCCTCTCCAACATTTGTCACTTTCCCCTTCTATCATTTTAGCCAATCTGATAAGTGTAAAATAATATTTCAAGGTTGTTTTAATCTGAATTTCTCTAATCAATAATGATTTAGAGCATTTTTTATATAACTATGAATTGTTTTGATTTCTTCATTGGAAAACTGCCTGTTCATATATAGGGTGAATATATCACTAATGAAGATGAAATTAAAGCAATTATGAGGAGTTATTTTGCCCAATTATATGCCAATAAGTTTAACAATTTAAGTTAAATGGAAGAATATTTACAAAAATATAAATTACCTAGATTAGCAGAAGAAGAAATAGAATATCTAAATAGACCCATTTTTAAAAAGAAATAGGCCTTAAGTAAGCTTCCTAAGAGAAAAGCACCAGGACTAGATGGATTTACAAGTGAATTCTACCAAACATTTATAGATCATCTAATTCCATTATTAAATAAATTATTTGGAACAATTAAGTAAAGAAAGGATTCTACCAAATTCTTTTTATGAAACAAATATGATACTGATACCTAAACCAGGAAGAGTAAAAACAGAAATAGAGAATTGTAGTCCAATTTCATTTAATGAAGGTGGATGCAAAAATCCTAAATAAAACACTAGCTAAAAGATTACAACAATATACATTACAAAGATTATACATTATGATCAAGTGGTATTTATATCAGGAATGCAGGAATATTTTAACATAAGAAAAACTATTAATATAATTGATTATATCAATAATTAAAGTTTTTTAAAATCATATGATTATATCAATAGGTGCAGAAAAAGCTTTTGGCAACGTTCGACACTCATTTCTATTAAAAACACTTGAAAGTATTGGTATAAATGGATTTTTCCCTTAAATTGAAAATAAACATTTCTCTAAAACCATCAGCAAGCATTATTTGTAATGCAGATAGACTAGAGGGCCTTCCCAAGAAGATCAAGTGTGAAATAAAGATGACAAATTTAAAGTGCTATATAAATGTCAGTTATTGTTATTATGCCCTAAGGTTATTTTGAAAGAAATTGTTTTATAAAGCACTTTATAAATGTGAGTTGTTAATAATATTTTTAATCCCACCAGACACTAAAACACACACTACCCTAAAATAATCTGTTGTACTCTAGGTATGGTTTTAGGGCCTAGCAACAATAGGGGATTTTCTTTCCTGGGGTATTTTAGGCAACACATTTCCTAAGGTAAGACACTTAAATAAGCATCATTGCCTCCTTTTTTTTTTTTACTATAACCAATATTAGTGACTTATAGATTTTTTTTTGGTTCCATCCATGACATTAAATTTATCCTTGAGTACATTTAAATTTAATACATTGGTTACATGATGAATAAATAAGCATGCTGGAATCTTAGCCACCACTATTGAGTGGAATACAGTAGGTCTGTGTTGGACTACATCCAGTAGGACTTAGTTATACATGCAGTAAAATGACAAAGTTATAAAATGCTTTCACTTACAAAAACATTTCACAATCTATACCTTAGGTAGTGCAATATAGCAAAGCTCAAGTGTATTTCATATAATTATGGATTTTAGAAGCTTGCAACTGTCCAGGTAATTCTCAAATCTCATGTTTGTTGGAGTGGAAAGGATAGATCTTTCCCTCCACTCCCACATACCCAGGATTGTTTTTCCCCCACAAAGTTCTTGAGCAGGTCAGCCGAGTCTCATAAATGTCTTTCTTCTAAACTTGCATTATCAGTAAGATAATCCACATTCAAGGTGGATTAGCTTAATGGAGATGTAAGCTAGCAATGGAAAGGCAATTATTTAAGTTGGAAGACATTTTTTAAAAATTATCCTTGGTCTCACATGACCATACAACCATTGTGCTGTGTCACATATTTGTTATTTTTCTTGTTTTATGAAACGTCTTGGAAAGATTGGAAAGACAGATAAAATTTGTTAATGTCTGAGCATAAGGTATTTTTTTCAGGTTGATGCCATTTGTGTTTTAACATTTCAGTTGATAATTTTGGTTGGGGAATAGAGTTCAGATTTTAGACCTAGAAAGAACCTTAGAGATTAGGAAATTGAGGTCCAGAAAGAAGAGACATGTCTAAGGTCATACAAGTTAAAAATAGCTAAATTAAAATGCCCCCTGAAGTTTCTTGCTACAAAACCAATTTACCATTTCATATCCTATTTAATTGACTTTTCATTCAACTGATAGCATAACCATTCATTTAGTGAATGATCCTCATGTAGATCCACCCAAGTGGGAACCTATACTTCCCATTAAATTTTGTTGATTTCCTAATTATGCACTTTTCCAACTGCATATCTTTAATTGATGTCATCACCTACAGGTCAGCATACCAAAGGATGCTTCAAAATGAATACAAAGGTTAAATTTATCATTAGCTTTAAGCTAAAGAATATAAATTCTATAGGGGAAAAAAAATCTTTCCTCCAGAATGAACCTAGGAAGCAGAAAGCTTCAGAAGGCCACATGGAATAAATATATATTTTAAAAATCAATTCATAATGTTAGAAACTAGAGGTGGTTGTTAAAATCAGTGGAGCAAAAAAAAAAAATAACCACTCTTAAAGACTGATAAAAATGTAAATCTCAGTTGCATTTGGATCAAATAACTAGCAAAGTGAACTTAGACCTGCTTTGTCAGGGTGACTTCTAAAAGTTGTGTGATTGGGGGAGCAGGGTTTGGTGGTTAGGTACTGTCTGAAGGTTTCAGAATGACAGGCCTTTAGATTTTCTTTAAAACTAAAGAGTACTTAGTATTTCTCTAGATTTTCTACTGTCTCTAGCTGCTTAAGTGTTCTGGTTGCCTTGTGTGCTGGTTAAGTGGAATATTAGTTTAAATTGATTCCTCCACATGTTTAGCTACTAATCTGCTAATTTTGAAAGACTCTGGTACATATCTCTGCTGCTGTTGCTGAAGTCTGCTGATAAGCTTCCTTATTAAATGCCTCCAGGTATTTCTTTCTGTATCAATAGAAATTTTACTAATTTTTAATTTGCTTGTAGCAGTAGGAGACATTTTTATGAAGTTGGTCTCCTTAATTTTGTATTTAAAATATGTAGATTTTAATATTTCCTGTGATATTTGTAGAAATTATATTTTTGATCATAAGGTAGAGTTTTCCACATTTTTAGTGGCCTTTCTTTTTTTAAAAGAACTACTTATTATAATAGGAACCGGAAGACTCAGAAGGTGAAGATGAAGCTGAGACTCCAAGTACAGAAAGAGAAGAGAAACTTACAAAAAATGAAGAACTATGTGTTATAAAACAAAAAGCTGAGATTCTTCAAGATGGTAGGAAAATTAATCTGCTTAAAAATAAAGAGTATTGCTTATCAAAGTTTTTATTTTCCTAGGTCTTTCTTGCTTCACATAAGGTTTTACAAAATCAGAATAATGAAGGGAAGGAAGATAGCTAATATGAAAAGTAGGAGCTATATAAGAAAAGTAGAAATTAAAATCACCACTTTAACTGTTTGTGATATGGAGAGAGAAAAAGAAAAAAGGAAGGAAACTAGAATGTTGTCAAGATAAAGAACTACCTGGCCACCTGTTAGAGTCATCCATGATGCTTAAGTGAACAACTCCCAGCCAAAAAGTCAGAGCTGTGGAAACATCAGATAAATCATGCATGGTTATGGTCATTTTGAGTGGTAATTTTTCAAAATATGAATGCCTTGGCGCTAGGATTAGAATGTCTTCAGATGTGATTCAAAACTTAAATTAAAACTCCAAGTTAACAGCTGTTTGGAATATGCCCAGACTTAAATGCAGCTGTGTATTTGTTACTTAAATCTCACTCAACATTGACATCAGCAAACAGCTATTAAGTAACCTAGTTAGCAGTTTTTTAGGATGCTCCCAATCATTTGCTAGCTCTTTTATAGAAACTTTAACCTGTAAAGAACTACAACTGTAATCTAGTACTACTGTATCAGGGAAGTCCTGAACTAAATCTCTTCAAAGTTTTAATTCCCTAGCAATACCACCCTAGATTAATTAGGATAGAGACTGAAGTGAAAGAGAACAAGAAACTGATTTTTTTAAGATAGGAATTTGGGTTTCCTAATTATATATCATACATGTAATTCTGCCACATACATCACTAGTTAGAATTTTAATTCAATATTCATTTTTTAATTTTGAGGTCTGTAACAAGCACAGTATTAGAAGCAGAAGGAAGGAACAAAAATGTTTAAAATTTTAGAAAATCATTCCTTTGAAAAGGAAAGTTAAAGAAACTTAGTCTAATTATCTTGGAAAGAAGTTGAAGGAAGCTTTTTAAAAAAATTTTCCAAATAAATTAGGGAATAATGTATGAGTGTGTTTTTCTATTCTAAGAGGACAAGACAAGAGGGAATAGAGTAGGTGGAATATAATTTAGATGTATGTTATTCAGGAGCTTCTTAACAGTGGGAATTGTAAAACATTGGCACATATAACTAAATAAATTGTTCCCAAAAAATGGCCATCTTGGGTTGGTTTGAATGTAATCCTACATCATTGTAAAGGATCAAACGACCTTTGAATTCAATATCGGGAAGCAATGAGTGATTCATTGTGTGGCCTGAAATTGCTATGACATAAGGCAGTTAGAAGTAAAGAAAAATATTCAATTTGCCTGGTATTCTTTGAGTAAAGGGTAAATAACAGCTGGAAACATTTATTTCATTTTATTCCCAGGCCTTGTAAGTTGGATAATGAATTAAAATATTGTATAAATATCTGATTTTAGACCTGGACACTTAGGCTAAGGAGAAACAAGCCCAATTATGTTTTCTTATTTCAGATTCCATCTTGGATTTGATCCATGTAAATAGTTGGGCCAGGGAAGATTAAATAGAACTATATAGGATAAGTAGCCCCACCCAAGGCAGAGGAATACTATCTTTAACCAACAGTAGGCTACAGTACAAGAATAAGAATTTTATAGAGTTAAAATGCTAATAATTTCTCACTGCATGAAAGGAACATATATATATATACATACATACATGCACACATACAATATGTGTGTGTGTGTGTGTGTGTGTGCATACATACATACATACACACACACCACACACACACAGGTCCCATCCTCAGAAAGGGGATAAAATTATATCAGTGTATATGGACCTCGAGAAAAAGAATGGAGGTGGTATTTGTGTTTCTTTATGAGTTCAATCCTATGTATATTGACTAAAGCTCATCATCTAGGAGTTAATGCTATATTTACTATCTTATCATTACATCTCAAACAAGGGTTAGTCCCTGTTTTCTTACACGATGTGCTAACAAATATCTAAAGCAGTGATTCCAACTGTTTTTTGAGTTTGAGGACTTCTTTTTAACATTTAGATATTTTGTGAATCTCCAGTACTTTTTAATATCATCTGTTGTTGAAGAAAACCCATGATAACAAAAAGCTACTCTGGATTCAGTACTGTTTTTAAATGAATTAGTATTTTATCAGTAATGATAGCATCTATATATATTTGAAAAATAGCTATACATTTATAGTTAGTTAGTTTGCATACTTATTATTCGAAGTCATGCTGTATATAAATTGTTGGAGCTAAAGAAAGAACCAAATTACAATTCTTGGTTTACACGTGGATTCAAGAAACCATTGCAGTAGTTCCATGATCACCAGTAATCCTAAGGTTAGAAGTTAGAGACCACTGATGTAATGCATTGAATTTGCTGAAACAATAGGTCTTTGTAGTCCTGTAATTTCTATTTCTATTCCCCTCTTAAACTGATACCTATATCAGTGTTCACCATTTAATTTGGTATTTTAATGAGTAAAATTTAATAAATTTCAGATACTGGAAATGAAACTCTGGGATAATTTTAACATTTTCATTCCCATTTCAGAAAAAAAAAAGTGACTTAGAGGGGCAATGTAAGGAAGAAAGAACCTTGATGTTCTGTTGTATAAAAAGTTTTTACTAAAAAAAAAATTCCTTTTTTTGGGGGAGGTATAAAGAGCTATACAAAAATCACATCCTGATTATTGCTAACACATGTATACCTGTTTTTAAAATAAACTGTTGAAATAGAAATTCTGCTTATATATCTTTTGGCTAGTGCACATAGAAAGATGCTTTCAGGTGGTAAGCTAATAAATGAAAGAATAGTGAATTGTATAGTCAGTATTTCTTAGTGAAAAGGAACCCAGCCTTGAGACCAGGAAAAAAAAAATTCAAGTCCTATGTCTTCAAGTTCCAACATATATTCATTGTATGACCCTGTGCAAGTCACTTAATTATTAATGCTCTAGGCCACTGGTGTCAAACTCATAGAAGCAGGAGCCACTAATCTATACATAAGGATCCCAATGTAATGCATACTGACTTAATTTTAAAATGTAATGTTAATCTGTATTTTATTGTATTTTTATTTTGTCTGTTAAATATTTACCAATTACATTTTAAGCTGATGTGGGCCGCATGGAAACATATAGGCAGCCTGCATGTTTGGATCTGCCATAGGCAACTATCTAAGACTACAAGCTGTGGAGGAGGTGCCATTCTGCATTGGTAAAGAGAAATTTCTCAAATGGAAGTTCGCTATTCCAGTGAAATCATAGATCCAGTCCCTGTCTGTCTTATCCAACTAGAACATGAGGAAAAGCATAATATTACAAGAGAACAAATCAAAAATGACTTATTATTGTCGTCAAGTATATCTATAGAATGGTCTCCTGATGTCAGACAAGTCTGTATCATGTAAAATGCAAATAGACTAAAATTGGAGAACACTGTAATTTAATACTACGTGAAAATTTATAGTACTCTTGAGTTTACATCTGTGTTTGAAAAAACCTTTTCACTGACTCATCAGCTTTCATTAAGTGTTTAATGTGCCTACTGCATTATTTTAGCCTCTTTAAAGGGGTGTAAAATAAGTAACCTAATCTAGAGGAGGTAAAATTCTAGGTGTTGAAATGACATTTTTAGAGTATTTATTGGGAGAATATTTTTTCATACCGTAATACTGAGTTGAGAAATAATGGTGGATATGATAATACTGAAATTTAGCTGCAGATTAAAATTGATGATACTTGAACCTATCTGTTAAGAGTTTAATTCTGTGAAATTTATTTTGTTTTTGTTTTGTCATTTAATTCCTTGTAGATTGGACAAAAGAGGACCTTAAGGAAAATCAAACAGAAAGTATGATTTTAATAGAGAAAGAAGAAAAACCTAGAATAGAAACAGCAATTTACCATATTGAAAATGAAAATAGTCAGAAGTCAGAAGAAGAAGAAGAAGAAAGATTAAAGAAAGAGATGTTACTTGCTAAATTGAATGAAATTGACAGAGAAATACAAAATTCCCTGAACTTAAGAAGTTCACACTCAAATTTAATCTGTCCAGAGAAGAAATCCCAAAGTTTCAGGTTCTCAGAATCCACTGAGAGGTTATTTAATGGGTTTCTTAACCAAGATGGCAGTTATATATCCACAAATAATGACAACCAGAAAAAAAGAAGTTTTTGGAGCCCAACCTCTGCCCCTGATTTCACATTTGGTAGTTACGTGCCTTCTTTTGGGAAAACATCAGAGAGGTCAAGTCTGTTGAATCAAAAAAGTGGCATTGCAGATTTGCCAAGAAGCACTAAAGATAGTGGAGATTTAAGTACAAAAAAGGAGAAAAAAGCTAATCTCATGGAGCAACTATTTGGTGCCAGTGCCAGCAGCACCATTTCCAGTAAAAATAGTGCCTCAAGTTCTCTGACTAATAGCAAAGGGGACTTTGACCCTCTAAATGTACTCCCTAAGGATAAAGGCAGCAGAAGCAAAGGACAAGATGAAGATGATGACTTTTTCCTTAGTGAAGAGAGAAGTTTTAACCCAAACAGGCACCGGCCAAAACACACAAACAATCGACCAGCAGTAAAGGCAGTTGATTCTTTGGAAGATGAAATTGAAGAAGTAGTACTGAGATGACTATACATATTTTTCCAATTGTAAATATTATTAAAACACCTAAATACAGTATTTATTATAAAGAATTTAGACATTTTTCAGATATTCAAAAATTCCTTATTTAGGAATTTTTATAGTAATCAAATAATAATGGAGATAGTTAACCAAAGCAAAAGTAATTTACACAATATAGCTATGTGGCGTCATTTTAATTTGCCAAGAAAGTGAAGATTATTTTGAATGAAATAGGCTTAAAGCTTTCTTTCTTGGTTTTTCCTTTTTATTTTTTTTTCTTACTGATAGAACCAGCATAAGGTTCTATGTTAAACCAGCTGAGGTTTTATGCCTTTGGAGACTTCATTTATCTATCCAAATTACACTTTGTTAGCTTTCTACCATATTGACATCTGTCATCATCATAAAACTGAATATAATCAGTTCTCATTTATGAAGGAGAGGAATCAGTGGTGTCAGGAGTCCTTCTACTGACTAGACTAGGTGATGTGGCTTCTGAACAACACTTTGTCAGAATTCCCTCCTCAGGGTAGAGACAGGCAAAGTTGCTTCAGTAAGTAGGGGCATTGTCAGGATGCCCCACTGTCTAGTAGCCTGACCTATCAGGCAACCTTGGCACTTGAGCTGTCTTTTCCCCATCTATAATAACAGAGCAGCAGAATGAATACTTAACTTTATGAAGTCCACCCAACTATTTACCTCCATTAGTGCCTATATATAATCAGAAGTTAATGAATGACTTTCTGAAGAACATATCCTGATTTCTCCTTCATAGAAGCTAGATGAAAAGAGAGTTGAACAAAACTTTCTTTTTTCCAGAAGAATCTTTGTAAGCTCTTTAACCATGTTTACTGATACCAACTTTAATTAGAAAAGGACTTTTTCAATAGGTCCACTATCTTTGGTTTTCTTCTTGAAGGTTGCCTACTAGTGTACCACAGATCAGATCAAATGTGTGGACTGGAAGTGGAATGAAAAATACAGGGAGAGAAAGCATGTAGACCCCAGCCCACATGAACCTTGTAATGGTAGAGCTTCATCCTGATTAGGAAATCAGTTTACTCAGGGAAAAAAGTTTACTTAGGGAAGGGTACTTCTTTACCCTCACCATGTATATGCTTCAAGATTATGGATTTGTAAATAATAGTGATATTAAACTCATTGAGGACAAGAAGTTTAAACTCATTCTTTAGGAAAATGCTTCTGTAGCCTAAGATTCTGATCTTAATTCCCTACATGCAGTTTAGACTTTCCTTTGGTTTTTGGTATGATTTTAGAATAACATATATCACCAAATATTTTAAAAGCTGTTTCAAAATCTCAGTGATAGAGAAATATTTTTAAAGAACAGCTCTAGTCAGCTTTTTGTGAGGTGTCATCGTCTTTGATTTAAAAAATACTAATGATGCTGGAATTCCAGTAATTGATGGTATCGGTTATTGATGATTAGGGCATATTTTATAAGTTTCTGAAAGATATATTGCAAAGAACGTTTACGGCGTTTTAAAACTTTTGGATTCTTACTGTTTCCATTTCTTCTCTTAATATAAGAGTTTTGCCTTTATTAAATTTAATGCAGAAAATAGCCACAATAAATTGACCTAAAGACTCTTTCCATTCATATCCTCATGCAAATCTGATTACTGTGGCTTGTCTTAACACAGCTCCTGAAGACTTCTGCAACCGTACTGATTGTAAATCCCTGGCAGATGCAGACAGAGGTGATGTCAGAAGATATTTCACTGTGTAAACAACTCATTGCTGCCACAACCTGAAATACTTGTATGTAGCACAATCCCTTAATTTCTCCCCACTAGTGTACTCTTTAATCAGGTGTGAGATTTGATACCTAGTCTTTTCATTAGAACTACTCCAGGCCAGCTCTGAGGACAGACCCTCCAGCAAAAGCAATCTCATTACACCAAGAAAGACTGCCAGCAGAAATATCTCCCCAGTGATAGAGATGTGCACTTTAGTTTTGACAGGCACAGTGATGTTTCCATTTTAACCTAGTGTCTACTTTATGTTAGTAAATTTTATCTGTATAATGTAATTTTTGAAGCATTATTGGCTTAAACTGAATAGCCAAATTAAATATATTGAACACCAGAATATATAAATGATAGGTAAAGATTTAAATGCAGTTCATTTATAGCAAAAAAATGTACATTACTATGCCTACAGGCAAGTATATTTCTTGACTCAATGAAAAATATCAAGTCAAAATTATGTTTTCATAATAATGTAGTTTTGAAATTTTAATGTATTGTTGAAGATTTGAACCTACACTCAAATAGGCACTAAGGGGACAGCATTAGTATAATGTTGTCTTGTACCTCTGAGTTAGTAAGCAACTGCTTTTTAAGACCATGACTCTGCTTTGGCAAGTTGATGTAGGCAAGAGAGATCTTTTTCAGATTATAGTGGTCTCCCCTGGACTGCTGTAATTGACCATCAGCTATAGCAGGAGTGTCCTGTATATACAAGGAGTATATTCATGTTTTTTAGATTCAACAGAAAAGAAACATAGGTCCAGGATGAGGAATGAGGAAAAATGGTATGGCAAAGAATGAGTAAAGATTCAAGAATGGCACATGCTATGACAAATGATTTATTCTTCCATCAATGTTATTGATGAATTTGGCTATGCAAGGTTGATTTCCAATAACATGAATACTAAGGGGCCTCAAATTGTAGTATTTATTTTGGAACCTGTACAATATCTCTTCACTTAGTTTGACAAGACTTAATTTACAAGTCTCTAATATATATTTTTCCTACCTTATAAAAGGTGATCCTCAGATATTAAAAATGGGCAAAATAACACTGACTATATTAATAACATTATTAGTAATAATGATTATTATTAATAACACTATATTAAACAGTACTCACTTTATTAATAAAGGGACATTGATGTATAACAAACAATATGTTACAAATCATTTTTAAGTTTGTAAAACAAACAATTATTGTAATACAGGTCTGGTATACAATGATTCTAATTATATTTATTATGTAATGTTAATTTTGTGCATAGCTGCTAATTTTTCTGCCCAAATGTTCTAATTATAATATTGTTTAGTTTTTAAGATGTTTTTTTAAAGAGTTTGAGTAAAGATTTTATATTTAGATCATTATTGTGTAAGAGTAGTTTTTTTAACTTTTTCTTATCTAATGTTTTCTTACTATAACAGTTTTCAAAGACTGCAGAATTATTTAAATTAACCCTAAATTTAATTTTTGGTTTTAAAAAAGAAAATATTAAGCAATTAAGAATGAGGAAAATTTAAACAGACCTTCTCTTATGAGTAGATCTATTGAGAATGGACAAGAGTGTGTTTCTTTCATGCTCTGAACTCCTATTCCTAAGTTAAAAGAATATTATGATCCCTTATTTAAATGGTATCTTGGAATTACACAGAAAATATAGTGTAGAACCAGAAGCCATAGGGTTAATTTTTTCTTATAATTTTTCACTTTTTTTTGCTTGAGAGATTTTTGTAATTCAAATAGAAGGATTTGCCCAGAGACAGGTTAGACCATATGCTAGTCTTATCAGATAATTGCACTTTTAATTAATCCTTTCACCCTAAAGAGCTATCTTAATAGCACATATTGCTTTTAATAGCAAAGAATGGGTGACTGAAGTGATTCATGAAATAAAAACAAACATTTCATGCCTTTTTACCTATGCCCCTGTCTTTTGATTACCAACCCTTTTCCTACTCTTCATCATCTACATTTTTTTCAAGGTTTTAATGCTTGTTGGTACCACTGCCTGTTCCACAGGGGTGAGGAAGCTTTAGGTTACTATGGGAGGGTGGACTCTTAGAATCTGAAGAGTGACTTGTATGGAACAAGAACCTCCATGTTCATCCTACCACAACTATCCTCTTAGAAAGTGGTAGGAGGGAGTCTGTGAGCTCCCATTTTGTAGACACAAAGCCCCTTACTTTACTCAGCTAGTATTTTTAAGGAATTTTCTGACTTTTTTTGGGCCAATAAAAGATTGGAAAGTGAAAACTGGAAGGAGGTTGGAGGGACAGAAAAACTAAATAGGGCTGACAGACACCAAACTGTAACTGCACAATACAACAATGATTGTTCATAACAATATTTATCAAGAAAGGGTTAAATTTTGACAAATTTGACGTCCTTTGTTGATGCAGTCTAAATGTCCGATGGAAAGAGCACTAGTCTTGGAATCCTGAGAACTGAGTTTAAGCCTCAGATAAATGCTGACTGACTGTGACCCAGGGCAGGTCAATCAACGAGCATTTATTACAAGCTTAGTACATACCAAACACTGTGCTAGGCCCTGAAGAGAAAGTCATAGAATCCTCTTTAGATTTAGGGCTAAAGTTTATCTTCTCTGTGCTCTATAAAAAATGGAGCTAATCGGTACATAACTATCTCACAGGGTTATTGTAATAAAAATTTAAAACCCTATGTAAATAAAGAATACCTTGGGAAAAGTTTTCCATCTAAAATAATTTTTAAAAAATTTTGTCATTTAAAGATAGCTTCTGTTCTCTGGGAAATTCACTTACGTAGAATGTATTAATCAACAAGCATTTATTAAGCAGCTACTCTGTGCCAGGTGAAAGGCTGAATGGTGTAGTAAATGGAGAGCTAGTCTCTGACTCTGGATGACGTGGGTTCACAGTCTATCTCCTACACATTGTGAGACCTTGAACAAGTCACTTAAACTCTCATTGTCCTGGGAAATTCCTAATGACCACAAATTGCATAACATTTGCTAATCTGCAGTCTTACAGAAAGTTTCTTCACTGGGGCTTCCCTATGCCAATGAAATCACTGCAGGTTGGGCCAAAAGAAACTTACTTATATTCTGCTGTTGTTTGGAGGGCAGGGCTAACTATTCACCATCCGCTCAGCCACCCCTGCCAGGTCACTGGCCCTAGACCAGAAGAGGAAAATGCCCAGAAAGAAATTTCTCACCCCAAAGTTTTCTATGTCATTCTTGGGGAATGATAATCAAATAAACGGTACCTTTACTATTGTGAAGGGTATGACAATCTACTTCCCAGAATCCCTAGGATTCTGAGTCCTTTTCTATGTAGGCCAAAGTGCCTTTCCATTATTACTTACTGCTCCCTCAGCCTATCTGTCCATCCTGCCCCTTTCCTTTACATTGTGCTCTCTGAAACTTGTTCTATTGTTAACAAACTGCCTTTCAAATTGGACTGGTTCCTCTCAAGTACCTTCCAGTTCCCTGCATTCACAGAAAACTGGCCCTCCCTCTGAAGAAACCGAGTCTCTGAGCACCCTCTCTAGTGCTTGATGCACCTTCACTCACGACCCCTGATATCCTTAGATGAAAGGAGAAATCGGCATGCTTTTTGTTCCTCACTGCCTCTTCCAGATCCTGTCCCTGAGTGTCACTCTGCAACCTCTCCCTTGAGGTCCATTCCATCCAGATAATATCTGGACCAGATCCTGGTGGCTGCCCTTTACTAATCCTCAGGTTCTTCCTCTTTTTCAAGGAGTCCAGTACCTGACTCAGTCTGAACTCCACCCCAAACCCTGCCCTTGTACTTGGGAAATTCAATGTACAGGATGATGTCACCTCACATACTCTTGCTTTCCAGTTAATCATTGAACGCAGCTCCCGTGATCTGCACCTTTGTGTCATCTCAGCCAAACACAGAGATGGCCATACCCCTGATATCATCATCACTCACAAGTGCTTCGTCTTTACTAGCCATAATTAATATTTCTTTGACCACATTGCTCTGACCTCACCTTCATTCCTTCAAAATCTCTTTCTTTTAGTTAACCAGTTCAACTATATGCTGACCTCTATGTTTGATTCCTTTACCCTATCATTGTATTGCCACTTATCCCTTTCCAAGTCCCAACCCTAGATAGCCCCCACCATCAGCCTTCTCTACTCTAACCAGCAGCCAAATGCTGCTAGAGGAAGTCATACAAATGTTCTGACTGGGTCCACTACAAATTTACGAACTCAGAACTGTACCCCTTCGTGGGGAAACAAAATTGAGGCCATCTTTCATGAATGTACCCTTCTCCCCAGCTCTCTATATCCATCATCTTCTATGCTGTCCTCCTTTGCTCTAGTCTAGTCCTGGTTTCAGGCAAGATAAGGCAACAGCTCACCTATGAGAGCACAATTATCATTGGGGTGGAGTCCAGGGTTTTGACAGGGGGGAGAAATGTCAAAGGATGAAAATAATGGCCACATTGCAGGCAGCATGGCATGTGTATGACCAGGAAGTGGTCATTTATCCTGTCTATATCTTTTTCCCTTTCATAGTCAAACTCCTGGAAAAAGTTGTTTACTCTTAGTGCTTCTAATTTCTCTTCTGTCACTTCTCAAACCTTTGCATTTTGGCTTCTGAAATTGTTCAAATGAATCTGCTTTCTTCAAGGTTACCAGTGATGTGTTGCTTGCTAAATCTGATTGCCTTTCCTTATCCTATACCTCTGCAGCATCTTACCCTGTTGATGAGCCTCTTCTAGATATTCTCTCCTCCACAAGTTTTTGTAACACTATTTTCTTCTGGCTTTTCTCCTGCCTGTGTGGACACTCCTCAGGCTCCTTTACTGATTTATTATTCCCTTCTTCCCTACGCCCATGCATGGCTGTACTGCACGGCTCTGTTCTGGGCCCTCTTCTCTTGCTATATACTCTTGGCAATCTTATCACTTTTTGTATGTACAGCTATCACATCTATCTAGACAACTCCCAAATAAGATCCCAGTTTCTCCCCTAAACTCCAGTCTAGGACTACCAAATGCCTATTTTTGTATCTTTAATTGGATGCCCAATAGGCACTTCTAACTCAATATATTTTAAAAAGAACTCATTATCTTCTCTTACTTCTTCCTAATTAGGGTCACCACCATTCTTCTAGTCCCCTAGCTTCTCAATCTCTAAGTTATCATTGACTCTTCATGCTCTCCTTCTTAGGTACCAAGTGTCATGTATTCTATTTCCAGAAGATCTCTCCCTTATATCCACATCTTTTCACTTGCACTTTGTACCACTTGTTCAGGCCCTTGTCACCTCACACTTGTGCAGGTAGAATAGCCTCCTAATTGGTCTTCCTGCAACCAGTCATCCCCATCTCCAGTACTTCACCCATGCAGCTTCTCTAAAGCACAAATCTGATCAAGTGACTCCCTGATCATAAATCAGTGGCACCATCTTGCTTCCAGAGTAAGATACAAATTGCCTTTTGGTTTTTAAAGGCCCTCAAAATCTGGGTCCAGCCTATCTTTCCAGACTTGTTATACATTGTTCTTCATGAGCTCTACAAGCCAGCAACACTAGCCTATTTACTGTTTCTAATAGAAAACCAGTCAATGAATAATCACTTATTAAGTGTTTACTAACGTGTCATGCACTGTATTAAGTACTGGAAATACAAAGAAAAAAGAAAAAACTCCCTGTCCTTTACAGCTTACATTCTAATAGAGAATATACCATATGTGTGTGTGTGTGTATCTCTCTCTCTATATATATATATATATATATGTCAGTGCATAAAAAATAAATATTGAATAGATGGAAAATTGTATCTCTCTTTTTTGTGCCTTGGCAGAGGCTATTTCTCATCCCTAGAATGTCTTCCAGCCTCACTTCCACTTTGCGGAATATCTGATTTTCTTTAAGGCTTAGCTCAGGTCCCACTTTCTATGGGAAGTTTATTCTGTTTCCATCAGTTCCCCTTCCAGAAATTACTTAGGGTTTAAAAAATCTTTTCCCCCTATTCAATTTTATTTTTTAATTTTAAAAATATTTGTTTATTAACATTCTTTTTCTTTATTTTGAGTTTGAAATTCTCTGCCTCCCTCAAGTCCCTCCCCCAACAATTGAGGAATTGCTTTATACATGTGAAGTCATGCAAAACACATTTCCATATTAGCCATGTTGCCAAAAACAAAAAGCAAGACAAATAAAGTGAAAATATGCTTCAGTTTGCACTGAGTTCATCAGTTCTCTCTCTGGAGATGGACAACATGTTTCATTATCAGTCTTTTGGAATTGTCATGCATCAGTG